CCTATCATTTTAAGGAAAACAACATTATTTGTTGTCAGTGATAAAATTTGAGCTTTCAAGCAAAAATTAGACTTGTAGGGCTTGGCTGGTTAGCTCAGTTGGTTAGAGCGTGGTGCTGATAACACCAAGGACCAAGGTTTGATCACTGTACCAGCCAGCCACCAAAAACAAACAACAAAAAAGATAAAAATTAGAACTATATCCATCACTGTGAACTTGATAGCTTCCCAATACTGATGAGATTGGTGGTAACATCAACAAATATGATTTGGAAGATCTTACCTCAGCAAACCAATATTTTCCAAATGACCATTTACTGATGTTAAAAAATCATCTTTGAGTAAAAGACCTATTTAAAGTGCAGATAGGGGGCTTCTGGTCAAGATGGCAGAATAGACAGTCCCTAGCATCACTCTCTCCCACAAATTTACAACTATTAAAAAGCAACAACAGCCAAGATGGGGCCGCTAGAGATCAGGGGAAGAGGAGGAGAGACCTGCGGAGTTTGTGAAGGCAGAAGAAGCCAAAATAAGAGAAAGGACAGCTCCCACCATTACGAGCCCTGGCTGCTTCAAGCCTGGCCCTGGTGAGCACACGGAGCGAGAGCTGGCAAAAGTCACAGCTGTGCCCTTCGAATGAAGTTGCCTTGAGGCTGCAGGGGAGAAGAGGACCTTGGTGGCACCAGGACAGCTAGACCACTAACAGGATTCCCATGGACCCACACAGGAGCAAGGAGCCACAGACAACAGAAAAAAGGAACCACTCAGAGGCTGGTGAGTCATCACAAGGGACCAGCACACAGCCTATCCCATGGGAAGTGTTTGGATTGTGGGGGGTGGGGCAGATGGGCCACCTGGGGAACACTGGGGCACAGCATGGACAGCTGATCTGCCCTCCAATCAGCACAGGACCACTCAGTGGAGACTGGTCAGGAACATAGAACTGCAGGGGGTACAGTTTGCTGAAAAGACTCAGGCCCAAGCCAGGGAGTGGGGAAGGCCAAGAGCCTCAGCCACACCCACCCCCCTCCACCCCCCCACCCACATCTGCAACCAGCCCAGTGACAACCACAGAGCTGCCACAGGAAGTGCCCCAGGCCCGAAGCTGGCCCTTTGAGGGGCTGAGGGCCTCAGCCACACACCCCTGACATCTGCAACCAGCCCAGCAACGAACATCAGGCCACTGCAGGAAGCACTCCAGGCTTCTGAGCCAGGGCAGTGGGAGGCTGAGGGCTTTAGCCACACCCACCTGACATCTGCACCTAGCTCAGTGACAACCCAGCTGCTGCTACAAGTCCCCTGGTCTCCCCTGACAGAATGGCAGTGGGGGGGGGCACGGGACTCAATCACGCTCCCCCTCCTTCCCCCTCTTCCCACCCTATTTCCCCTCCCCTATCCCTTCTCCTTCTCCCCCCACAACTGCTCCACGTCATCATCTTAGAATGAAGCATGGAGCTGGGGGAAGTTGAACCCAGCCACAACTATACAAGCTGCCACTACCACCCTGGGGCCCCAATGGGGGCCTGAGGTGTGGAGCTGAGGGAAGCCGAACCCAGCCCCAACTAGGCAAGCTGCTGTCACCACCCTGGGTCCTGCCAGGGTCCTAGGCATGGAGCCAGGGGAAGCCAAACCCAGCTACAACCAGGTAAAGAGCACACCAAAAACACCATTTTCACATCAGTAGCCCTCCATTGCCACCACAGTTGCCATGACTGCCACAAAAGCAAATAGTCTCTATAGCAGCAGTCACAGCCACTGTGCAGTTGGCCCACCAGACTCTCAACTTCATTGACACAAGGAGAGGCACCAGCAGAGACCAAAAAAAAAGGTCCTCTTTCTTTTTTCTTTTTTTTTTTTTTGTCTTTTTCCGTGTCCGGCAACGGATCGCAACCCTCAGTGTCGCCCCCGCACTGGACCGGGACCGGCAACGGGATCGCAACCCTCGGCGTTGCTCCCGCACCTCGCTCAGCCAGCGAGCGGGAACCGGTCTGTATGTGGGATCC